TTTGAATTAACATGACACCTGAGGGCCTATGATACTTTAATTCGTTTGAATTAACATGACACCTGAGGGCCTATGATACTTTAATTCGTTTGAATTAACATGACACCTGAGGGCCTATGATACTTTAATTCGTATGAATTAACATGACACCTGAGGGCCTATGATACTTTAATTCGTTTGAATTAACATGACACCTGAGGGCCTATGATACTTTAATTCGTTTGAATTAACATGACACCTGAGGGCCTATGATACTTTAATTCGTTTGAATTAACATGACACCTGAGGGCCTATGATACTTTAATTCGTATGAATTAACATGACACCTGAGGGCCTATGATACTTTAATTCGTTTGAATTAACATGACACCTGAGGGCCTATGATACTTTAATTCGTTTGAATTAACATGACACCTGAGGGCCTATGATACTTTAATTCGTTTGAATTAACATGACACCTGAGGGCCTATGATACTTTAATTCGTTTGAATTAACATGACACCTGAGGGCCTATGATACTTTAATTCGTTTGAATTAACATGACACCTGAGGGCCTATGATACTTTAATTCGTTTGAATTAACATGACACCTGAGGGCCTATGATACTTTAATTCGTTTGAATTAACATGACACCTGAGGGCCTATGATACTTTAATTCGTTTGAATTAACATGACACCTGAGGGCCTATGATACTTTAATTCGTTTGAATTAACATGACACCTGAGGGCCTATGATACTTTAATTCGTTTGAATTAACATGACACCTGAGGGCCTATGATACTTTAATTCGTTTGAATTAACATGACACCTGAGGGCCTATGATACTTTAATTCGTTTGAATTAACATGACACCTGAGGGCCTATGATACTTTAATTCGTTTGAATTAACATGACACCTGAGGGCCTATGATACTTTAATTCGTTTGAATTAACATGACACCTGAGGGCCTATGATACTTTAATTCGTATGAATTAACATGACACCTGAGGGCCTATGATACTTTAATTCGTTTGAATTAACATGACACCTGAGGGCCTATGATACTTTAATTCGTTTGAATTAACATGACACCTGAGGGCCTATGATACTTTAATTCGTTTGAATTAACATGACACCTGAGGGCCTATGATACTTTAATTCGTTTGAATTAACATGACACCTGAGGGCCTATGATACTTTAATTCGTTTGAATTAACATGACACCTGAGGGCCTATGATACTTTAATTCGTTTGAATTAACATGACACCTGAGGGCCTATGATACTTTAATTCGTTTGAATTAACATGACACCTGAGGGCCTATGATACTTTAATTCGTTTGAATTAACATGACACCTGAGGGCCTATGATACTTTAATTCGTTTGAATTAACATGACACCTGAGGGCCTATGATACTTTAATTCGTTTGAATAAAATGACACCTGAGTAAATCTTTCAAAAATCTACAATTTTATATTATTAATTAACTCCGAAGCAAAAGCGCTTACAATTTTAGTTAAAGTACTAATTGGTTATTATTATATATAATAAATTTTGCATTTACAATGCAAAACTGAAAAAATCTTAATGAAACACGAAATTTTATTGAGAACAAAGATAAAGTTCAGAAGTAGTTAACAATCATTATTGACTTGCACCACGCAATAAAGTAACGAGATTCTTAATGAACTCCCTATAAACTGTTCCAGAAGTTTCCAACTAGTTCACCGAGGTCAACATTAGCATTCTTGAAAAATAAAATTTACGGTTCCTCGCGGGAGGACTGATCACAAAAGTTGGCACCCAAAAAGTTTTCATAGTGCCACGACCCGACGACTGCGATAATCAAATTCGTAATGTCTTGGGAGTTCGGTTTGTGTGGTTTTTGAGGAATTTAGTAAAATATATATATATATATATATATATGACGTCATGGTACGTTTTCTACTCAACTGTGACGTAGCGAGCCCCCACTCCTCAACTTTAATGCCTGTTATCTAAGCCTTTTCTTGTTAAATTGAAGAAAAAAAATACGTATCTAATATTTTTCTATTATCTGACGGACGGACTAAATAGAATTGCATTTTTTTACCCAGTCATCATCCCTATTAACACACATACATATATATAAACATACATATAAAACATACATATATATAAACATACATATACACATACATATAAAATATTAGATACGTATTTTTTTTACTTCAATTTAACAAGAAAAGGCTTAGATAACAGGCATTAAAGTTGAGGAGTGAGGGCTCGCTACGTCACAGTTGAGTAGAAAACGTACCATGACGTCATGCGAAATTTCAACTCCGTGTAACGCCGTAATTTTATGATTACGAAAAAAATAAAAAAATACGTGTTTAATATTTTTTAACACTACCTAACGGACAAACAAACAAAAATTAGTCATCATCCCTATTGTCTTTTTCAATTTTAAAAATATGTGTAACTATGAAGCTCGATTACTCAGCGGTAAGCTTATGAAGTTCTTACTAAGCGAAATACTCTTTTTTTAATGATACAAGTCTCGCTTTTGTAATAATGTAGTGGAATTTAAAAGTTCCCACATTTTGGTTTGTTATCTTATGGTATATGTGGGTATATTTCTTGCCTTCTTCAATCGAGATACTAAAGGTTAACAATGCCATTAATATACAAGGTTTAGCGTCAGAATTAATTCACGCTAAAATTGCAATTTCAGTATTAGTCCAAATTCAAATTATTCAGAGTATAAGCAAACCTACTACCTTCTAGGAGTAAATATTACTCATATTAGGTTAACCTTTGCTAAGTCTTTATTTAATAATATTAATTTTGACTAATACTATAATTGCAAACTCAGTGTCACACTTTTAGATAAATTACTGGATTAATAAGAAAACATCTAACCACTCACACTCTATGAACCATGATAATTCATCATACTGAATTCTCTACACATAATCCTTCAATTCTTTCTATACACTTATTCATCTAATTTCTTCATTTGATTTTTACTTACAATGCATTACCAAATAATAAAGTCACAGTATAGGAAGATTCTATTGCAATTATTTTTCTACGGTAGTTATTATAACTTGCCGGCTGAGCGGGCACACCTGTTGATAATCTCCGCGGGGGTTCTAAAATATTGCATACCTTACGGCGACCGTTATACCTTTAATAACGGGCTTTGTTAAGGTCATGACTTCGGGTTTTTTACTTTTCCATGAAGAATTTTCTATTTCAAAAGCGTTCTGATTTATCTGAAACAATGTAACTTTAAATACAAGATTATGTATTTATTACTCATCATCCTCAATCTCTCATGCTTTCTCTATATAAAGAAACAAATGGATAATGGGCCATAACTAATAATTGCTGCAGAATAATCATACCAACGGCTTAACTTGACTTCCGAAGCAGTCGAGCTCGTGATAACAAATTTTCGGTAATCTATCTGATGTCTGGTCTTTTCTAAAGTTTCTTTATCTTTAACCTTGCAATCGCAAACTAAACCACTGATATTCACGTGTTTATAAATGGGCATATGGGCATATAGGCTTCCATACTTCATTCAAAATAACAACTATCATTTCTTAAAGCACGAATGTCAAATATCGGTTAATATCATTGAAAAAGAGAAAGAAACTAATTGTTGTTTTTGGTTCGTGTAATTCCTTAGAGAGAGAGAGTAGTGAGAGAGCAACATTGAGCTCATTCGGTGACATATTAAAATTACAATAACATTCATACTATATATTTAATCGCTTACTATGTGATCGATCACACACTGAATTCTTCTATCCAATGACAAAGATAATCTGTCATTTTTTATTTCTTTTTATGTTTGTCTTCATGTGGATTTATGATATTTTTCTGTGTAACATCATTTAACTGTTTCTGTTTGTTGCACTGCACTTAAAAGTTTTCTGTCCATAACGCTCTGGTTGTCAAAAAGAAAAATATTTATTTATGTTTTATTGTGCAATAAAACATAAAGTAATCTAATAAACTTTTCTTTCTGTTACAGTAGGTTAAAACTTGTAATGATGCACATGTTATGGACTGAACAAATTAAGGAGAGGTTTGATTGAACGATGTCTTAATCACTTGCTGTATGTGTGTGTGTGTATATAAGTGTGTATAATGATAGTGACCCAGTGAATAAAAATGATGATAAATTATAAATGTTTAGGTTATATTTACTTATTACTTTTGTATGAGAAATGTAAAAAAAAATATAGGAAAAATATTTAAAAAATATGGATATATAATTTTTTCATTTACATATTATGTTTTAGGAAGATTTACATATCAACAAATGAAGTTCAACATATTACGAAAATAAAATGATTTTTTTTTTGGAAATATGTTTTTTACTTATCAAATGAGAATACATAGAAAACTGAGCAATAGAAGCATAAAAATACACACCCAGGTCCATTCCATACTCGTTTTCGCGTCCCAATTACTTGATATTTTTGTACAAAACCCTTCGTTTTTCTTAATCTATCCAGTATCAATACAATCTTCTATTTAGGCGAGAAAAAATTTATAAACTTACATTACCTGTTGGCAATATTTTGGGGATATTTTTTGTCTAGTATAGTTTTATTCACAGCATAGATAAGTAGTTCAATATTTTGTAAATGTTTTTAAAGTTGAAAAACTGTGTCATTGCTTAAATCAAAGGTATCATTTTATTATAGTCACTTAGAGCAAACTTGTTAATTTTTTTTGCATAGTTCTAAAATAACTACATAGTCATGATGATATAAAATGTGCCCATCACTACTCATATGTTTTTGTCCTCATAAGCGAGGTCAGCTGAGAACATTGCATAACAAAAAAACCGCTTGTTGACTCATTGAGATATACCAAATATAAAGCGCCGCATACCAAAGGTTAATCTAGTGTTTATATTATATATAGTTATCTTTATTTTGAGCTCAGAAGAAGACTCATTCCTCCGAGCTCAATTTATTTAATATAAAAAACACGAATCACTTCAGAACATGTTTATTTACAATTTATAATGGTCCCTACTGGCTATGTATTCCTTGATTCTAGGTAGATTATGAACAGTCTTGACTAGAGCAGAGACGGTGGGATAATTCTTTTCGATGTTATCGTTGTAGAAGAGATTCGCTGTCTCGATGATACCGACGAGCACGAAGTCAGCCCATGACAACTGAAAAATTAAATAAACAAAATTTTGACTCTTTGTTTTCCATATATAGAATTAAATGCAATTTGCTGAATGTTCTTTACATCTATAAAGATAAAAACGAGATATTGTCTTTTTCTATTTATTTATCGTACCGATATAACTGTTTGAAATTAAACAGGGAGGTCAAAAAGCAGCCCTTGCTGAGTTTTTTACCGCTACAAGGGATCCTACTGTACGAACCGATGACATAGCTTTCGACAATTGCTTGTAACAGCCTCAACTTAATAAACGATATTGAATTGAAATGAAAATTAACCCATGTAATCAATACTTCTGTGTACTTAAAAGTATATCATATGTAGGCAAGTAATTACAGTTACGACCTACTTATAAAAATTTATGTACGGACGTCATCATGCAATTTAAAAATTTTAATAACAAGAAGTGTATCAATTTTTACACGAATAACCCACTAAACATCATGCGCAATCATTAGTTATTAATAAACAAAGGTGCAATTTTACTATTAGTTCAAATTCATATTATACATAGTATAAGCAAACCTCTCCTTCTAGAAGTAAATTTTACTTCCGTAGAACGTTGTACTAGGTTAACCTTTGCTAAGTCTCTGTTTAATAATATGATTTTTTACTAACAGTCTCAGCGTAAATTTGCTACAATTCTAAACCTTGTTTATTAATAACACTGAATATGTATAATTTATAAGCAAGTTTATTTTTTTTTTTAAAAACTAAGTTAATAATTACCTTGCCAATAAAATATCCGTTGTTCGATTTGAGTTCGTTTTCAAATCTGGAGAAATAAAAAGGCACTATCTCCTCAAGAGCATGCTTCTTCATGGTAGCCTTCTTTTCAGGATCCGCGGCAACATATTGGCCAATAGCTGTGGACACAATAGAAACTATTTCAGAACTTTCATCAACATAACTATATTAAAAAAAACCTATACTTTACAATATCATTAAAAGAAAAAATGCGATTGTTTGTTTATTTGTATTGAATTGGTTCCGTTCCGGAAGTAATGGGCTGATTTTGATTTTTTTTTCACCTTCCGTAAGCTACAAGTAAGGTGACTTAGCCTATAATTTACACGGGAAAACGGTTATGCCCGTTTTCACTAAACTTAGGGAATCGGCCAAATCTGTCGCCTAAATATTTAGGAATCGCCTAAGGTATAAATTCATTTCACCGTTGACTACGAATCACCTAAACGAAATTAAGCAATGTCTAAAGTTATGATATTCGTTATGCAGCGCCTTGCGCTTGGCATTTGCGTATATATATCAACATAAATAGCGATATGCGATTCGTAATATTAGGCATGACCTAGTTAAGCTATGACTTGTTCTAGGTTAGTGAAAATGGGTATCAGTGTAAAAAAGTAATTGTTATTGATTAACACAATATTATTTATATATAAAAGTAAATATTTCAATGAGGTAAATGACCTCTCTGATAAAGAATAAGCACTAAGTACATGTCCTACAATGTTATCGTGTGAAGAGTTTTGGGATTCTAAAGCAAAGTTATTAATTGGAAATATAGATTAAAAGTTTTATCATATTTTGAGCTACATTTACTATTTTCCTGATGAGGATAAGGTAGATATAATTTATAAAAATAACGTTAATCTAAAAATAAACTGCTCAACAAATCAAATAAGAACAACGCAGTGAAGATACCACTCACGCGCAAAGTTGCCTATTATTAATTTCATGGAAAACTAGCTGTGCCCGCAACTTAGTCCGCATGGAATGCAGCCTAAGTTACCCCATACTGTATAAACTATCATCAAGTCCCGTCAAAATCAGTCCAACCGTTTCAGAAAGACAAAAATGTAAAAAAAAATATTTTTGTATATGATTTCTAAATTAATATAAGTAACATCTAGTCTAATGCATGTCCATTTTGTTTTTATAACTAGAATTAATAAAAGTCAAACCCATTAAATGATAAATACAGTAGACACGATATGAAATACCAAACTATAGTTCTATAGAAGTTAGTATAGAAGATTAGATCTAATTTACAAGAAGTTCTTACTATTTTTGCTCCAGAAATCATAGACGTTGTGAACCGCAGCGTCCAAAAGAGCCTGCTGCCAGGGATCTGAAGGTAGTAGCTCTGACTTGCTGGCTACATAACGCGCAATGGCCAAAGATTGGTTCAGAGTTTTTCCATCCTCTTCATAAATGGGCAATTGACCATAAGGAAGTGCTGAAAACAACATTATATAAATTTCTTTAATTTAAGGAAAAAATATTGCAAGAAAATACTCTTTTTTTACTGTAGAGAAAACACTACTTGAATACCTCGCCACCTGACAAACGATTTTGATCATTATGCTACCTAGTTAGTGGCTTCTAAAGTGTTGTAGTTAAATCCTCTTTTGTGGGTTACATCCATTTTACAGAATTTTCAATTTAACTTGCAACAGTGCATTGCATAATGTACAGTACATTCCAAGTTGTATTGTTAACAAAAGCATTTAGCAGTTGGCAAGTTTATTAATTTTGCATTTGCAATGCTATTTTTTGAGATAAATTAAAAGTATTAAGCTCAAGCAGTTCTTTTTTTTCATACAGGTTTAATCTGAATGACCATGCATGACTAGTTATGCAACGTCATTTTAAATACAATATGGCAGACAACCTATTTTTTATGTACTGTCTTAATATGGACATCAAACATGTGGGTTTATATAGAAAGCGAAAGTAATGAAATTGATTCATTATAAATCCAATACGGTGGATGACCCAAGATGGCGGATTTTTTGTGTATTAGGCGCTATAAAGTATGGGTGTCAAATGTAAGGACTCGCTGAAAAGAATATGTGCTTAGAATTAAAAATAAAAGTGAATCTGCCTATTTCTAAACGAATAACCTCTTACTATTAATAGTCAAAAAATAAAACAAACCCTATTTAAAATTAATTTATTATGTTAAAAAGGCACTTAAATGTAGAGAAAAATCTAGAAGTTTTACAACGCCAAAGTAACATAATACCTACATAACAAAATCATCATTATTATCAGTCCTTTTACATCCCCACCACAGAGATTCAGGCCTGCTATATGGGTGGTTAAGGAGGATGGTCTATGACCCTCCGCGCTGGTCCATTGCGAATTGGAGGGTATTGACGACTGCCAATGCAGCCAGGGATTAACGGCTTGACATGCTTTATAAAGCATGGTGTAGTCCGAAATAATAATATTCTGATCCCATCTCAGGATCGTGAAAATTGCTTGGCAACAACGAAATAGACTTGACAAATATATCATCAGTAAAAAGGAAAATTGTAATAAAAAAATAATATAAGACACAGTTCATTATAGGATTTAATACGAAAATAATACGCCATATCCATAACATTGATGAAAATACTTTGTAATAGCGAAAAAGAAACTGCTTGAAAAAATTGTCAGTCCTCTTAGATCCTGGGTAGCTCAGTGGTTATAGCAGATGCCCGGATTGCGAAAGGTCATGGGTTCGGATCTCATCCCAGAATACTATTTTTTATTAAGAATATTTTTTTTGTTAATGTAAAATTTATTAAATATAATCATAATTAACCTACTATTTTTACCTTTCACAAGGCAAAAAGTCCTAATTTTTAACAGACTGCCATCAACAGATCATTAAAAAACTAAAATCAGAAACAAAAACCTGTTAAAGTGCCGTTAAGTGCGGTTTAAGACGTGCTTAACTTTAAATACTCAATTCAAAAACCGGGCGTCAGTATCCTTGACTGTTGACAATATTTCATAGCAACAAGATATAAATATGATGTAAAATAAAACGCAAGAAAAAATAGTACTTACAGTCCTTCACACTTTTAACAGGCCATCCATTGTAGTCATATCTTACATCTTCAAACTTTTGACCCCCATAATGAAGAATATACCTTATTGCCTCGCCGAGACCGTTGAGATTAAAATAATGCAGTTTCTTAGCCATTGTGCTCGCCGGTCGTTTACAGAATACTACCGCTTTAGAATTACTACTACTTTATATAAGTCAACCGATGATTCAGCAGAATTGAATTAGATAATTTAACTTTATAGACATGATGGTCGAGTTACCCATTGGTCCGGTATTATGATAAGCAATGTCAATACACTTCAATACACTCTAATATCAAGGTTAACTGATAACAATTTTTACTCAACTCTCCAAATTGCGAGTGTATTGTATTTAGGGTTAATATATGTATGAGAATTTCTTTATTACACATTAAATTTTGAAAGACTTAACGGATATGTATTATGCATGTTTAAGGCTGATTTAAGGCATCATTGGAAATATTAATTTTCCTATTTAAATTGTAAAATAATATTTCTTTACGTAACAGGAGCTACAAAAAGAAAATGTTGTAAAATATTGGCATAAAAATGATTATAAAGGGAGTTAATAAAAAGATAGCCCATTTTATAAATAAAAGCATTACTTAATATGGCGCAATATTCTATAAGTATTATTTTCATACAAATATAAAATAAGATTTGTTTACGTAACAGAAAGTACAAAAAAAATATTATGAAAAATTGGCATAGAAATTATCATAAAGTGATTGGTAAAAAGATAGCACATTTTATAAATAAGAGCATTGCTAAATATGGCGCAATAGTATATAAGTATTATTTTCATTCAAATATAAAGTAAGACTTGTTTACGTAACAGGAAGTACAAAAAAATGTTACGAAAAATTGGCATAGAAATTATCATAAAGTGATTGGTAAAAAGATAGCACATTTTATAAATAAGAGCATTGCTAAATATGGCGCAATAGTATATAAGTATTATTTTCATTCAAATATAAAGTAAAATTTGTTTACGTAACAGGAAGTACAAAAAAATGTTACGAAAAATTGGCATAGAAATTATCATAAAGTGATTGGTAAAAAGATAGAACATTTTATAAATAAGAGCATTGCTAAATATGGCGCAATATTCAATAAGTATCATTTTCATCCAAATATATAATAAGATTTGTTTACTTAACAGGAAGTACATTTTTTTTTATGAAAAATTGGCATAGAAATCAATTTGTACAAAAAAAAGTTATGAAAATCTGGCATAGAAATTATCGTAAAGTGATTGGTAAAAAGATAACACATTTTTTAAATAAAAACATTGCTTAATATGGCGCAATAAACTATAAGTCTTATTTTCATGCAAAATATAGATTAATATTTTTTTATGAATAGATAAAAAGAAATCTATGATATAACAATATATATATTATTTTTTACTTAATAGGAAGTTTAAAAAAGTATATACGCTCGTCGATTTTATTGACAATGATTCAGTATTTTAGCTGATAAAATATATCTTTAAGATTTTTTGATGTAACTGATAACTTATCTATCTTATATGATAGTATCTGGATGACCGAGCTTTGCTTGTTATCTTTTTTGGTAAATCGCATTTTTCTTAAATAATAAAAAAACATAAACTGGTCATTTAAACAAAATTTACGAAAAAATTAAACACATTAATATTTTTTTAATAATAATCAGTTGTGTATCTACAACTGAATAGAGAGAAATGATACCACATTTTTTTATCTTCTATCTATACCTACTATAATAAAAACATAACCGATCGATGTCTGTACATTGAAGATATATGAAAAAACTGTTATGAGAGGTATTTATAAACATAACAGAACACAAAACAACCATCTTTAATCTTTTTGTCTGTTTGTCGGTTTGTCTGTTTGTCTGTGCGTTTGTGCACGATAATCTCAGAAACGGCTGAACCGATTTAAATGCAGTTTTCGCTATTATATTGTGGTATTCTTCCGCTAACATTGAGTGTAAGATTTATTTCAATCGGTTCACAAATAAAAAAGTTATGTCAATTTGAAATGACGTGTTCGCCAAAATTGCTATGAAATATTAACTGTTTTATAAAATTTTCTTCTTTGATATATCATCATCATTAACTCTTTTACAGCCAAACTGCAGGGCCTCAGGCCTTTGTTTAATAATTTTTAGTCACCCATCCCGTGAACAACTCTTGCGGAAATTGCTTAGCAATAGCGATCGTGCGCAGCGGCGCTTATCCGTAGCGCCACCGAGCTACGAATTAATATTGTCTATAAAATGATAATTTGTATGATGACAAACAAAAAAATAAGATTCCAAAATTTTGCCTACTCCAAAGTAAGTTGACCTCATTTATATATGGCCAATGATATTAAATAGGTTTCAGCCTATATTGGACGTGTGGTATACGATCACGCGAGTAGGAGAACAAGCGAAAAGAGCCTTCCGATGATGGAATTAAGAATCGAGTAGTTTACAGTGATCGTAAATTTTTATCAGATTAGGTTCACGTCGTCGTCGGAGCCAGCGGAGGTGGTTGGCAGCCGCCCCCGCATTGCACGGTTTCGTCTGTCTGTCTGTCTGATTTACCCGAGCCTCTTCAATTTTCCATCTGCAAGGGGACCAATGGTCCAATACTTGAGTGTCCTAGTGACTCGGCCATAGCTTACCGGGTTTCATTTCCTATGAAAGGGTGTAGCGTACGGATTTTGGTGGGTAGGCCTCTGGGGACCCACTGGGCACCTCACTGTCGGGTTCACGGAGGAGAATCCTACTCACCCCCTGTAGCTTGCCAGGTAATAGAGACAATGTCAGAAGCTTTTCCACGACGTTAAAAAAGATTCACATCAACTGAAGTTAAGAACGTAAAGACAACTCGAGTCATATATATTTTTTACTCTTATTACTATTTTTTATATCAATACTCTTTTTGTTTCTTTTTAACATACAAATTGCTGTAGAAACGTACTTCAAAGTTGGTATTTTCAGTCTTCGCTGGAAACAATGGTTTATTCATTGGTCACAACACTCTTATAATATTACACGAGTCTGAGGGTCGGTTCAGAGTAGCTCGGTGGCGTAGTGAACAAGCGTCATGGCCCGCGATTATAGTTGTTAAGCAACTTTTGCAAAGGTCGGTCACAGGATGGGTGACCAAAAATATTATCTCAAGCAGCTCCAAGCTTCGTAAAGCACGTAAAGTGATCGGTCCCGGTTGTATTTGCAGTCGTTAATATCATACAATCCTCGTTGGGCCAGCCTAGAGGGTCGTGGCCCATCCTCCTTAACCATCCATAAGGAAGACCTGAGCTCCTGCATTTGGTGACGTAAAAGGGCTGATGATGATGATGATGATGAGGGCCGTTCAAATCTGACGAAAGCTTAGTTAAGCACCTCTCGGAAGTATGTGTTAGTAGACGATTTCTTTCGAGTGTGGAAAGTCGAAATTAAAATATATTTTTATATATCAATAAATAAAACTCCACGTATCTTCCGTCAGACATGTACCGACTGACTTTTATTGGCAAAGAAAGAGATCGGACGGAAAGCACTCGGTCTCGGGAGACACCTGAAAAATGCGAAGCGTATTTAAGAGCTCGCAGTTTGCACAATAGAGATCGAGAAAAGAGTATCGAGAAAAGAAAAGAGTTTGAAAAGAGAAAAGATTATCGCCAACCCGTGTTGCCTTCATACTCCACAGTCGTACCGCAGATAAGTTTTGGCAGGGTATAATGAACTAGCTGTTTTCCCGCGACTTTGCCGCAAAATTAAAGCCTATGACATCCGCGTCTGATGTAGCTTCCCGTAGGTCGGAATCGCTCTGAAACTATCGGTCCAGTAGTATTGGAGCAAATTCGATGCAAACAAACAAACAACCAAATCTTTCCTCTTTATAATATTAGTATAGCTTAGTTATAAGAGGTCTGATGGCGTAGTGGGTTAGCGCATTCGGCTTAAATTGAAGTTAAATAAGTAAGTAAATACTGCACAACAAATTCTTGTATATTCATACATGAATACTTATTTTACATAACTAAGTACAAACGAAGAAACTCATCGCTAGCCAGCGATTTCTTCCAGGCAACCTAGCATTACATGGAAAATAGAACAATAAATAGCCGATTGTGCAAACGACTAGACAAATAATAATAATTTAAAAAGATCAAAAATAAAACAAGGACAGTTTAAAGGTACGATAAAATGCTCAGACACAAGCGACTACCAGAGCGCGAGAAACGAGAAAAAAGATAATAAAATAACATTCGTAAGGACCATTCACAGGATGGGTGACCACAACATTATTATCTTAAGTACTGTGCACAACACTGGTACAATGCACGTTAAGCCGTTAGTCCTGGCTGCATCGGCAACATTAACACCCACCTATCCGCATTAAGGCCGCATAGTGGGTTATGGCCCATTGATGTTATTCGATTCGACTCCATTCATAGGAAAAAAAGAATTCTACCAAAATACTTCCCACGCAGACGAAGTCGCGGGCACAGCTAGCCTTCAATAAAATCTAAACACGAACACCAACAATTGTACTTGAGGTCAGTTTCATCCGTGTCATTAGTAAGAAGTAAAACAGGAAGTACTATAAGAAAATGCGCCTTAAGTGAATATGTGTTTTCCTCTTACACATACATGGTATTTTTTTTATAAATATCTGGCACCGACCCGCCCTACCATTAATTTATGTTTACATAATCTCCCTATTAATTATAAATTATTTATTATTAAATAAATTAAAGCTTATTTACACACTGCAAAAAAATAGAAAAACAAATACATATCTTAAAACTATGATATTTACTATTACCCTTTAAATAGATAAGATAAAATATACGGCTCGGGCGACGGAAACGCCTGCGCAGGTTCGGGAGCATAAAATAGCTAATAGTCGTGGTAGCTGTTGCGAACCACACTTACTAATTAATCTTTTTTGAAAGCAGCTGTGTAACGCTTTTTATAAAATTACCTTGACTGACGTATTATTTTAAATAAATATTAAATTTAATTAAATAAGAGACAAGCTTTTCTACGATTGCACTAATCATAAATCGGAGACCGCTCTTCGGGGTAGCCATCGCTGTACCCACTCTGCTCAATGATCTCAATGCTCAA